AAGACAAAAGTCCATCCAGTTCAACCATTAAAAAAAAAAAAAAAAGTTCTAATCCTACACCCACAGTTGATCCAGAGGAAGGCAAAAAAACCCCAGCAAAGCATGATCATATCCCCCCAATTTGCTCCTGCAGGGAAAAAAATCCGTCCTGATCCCCCGAGAGGCAATTGGATATTCCCTGGATCAACTTTACCTATATCAAGTTAGTATCCAGGAGATCATTCTGTGTATCCAAGAAACAATCCAGGACTTTTTTAAAGCAATCCACTTATGAGCTGGCCAGAACCAACTCTTGAGGGTAGTCTATGGTTCCACATCCCCTTTGTAGCTCTTACTTGAATCAAACCTTTCCGTGTTTGGAGATTATCCCCCCATTTCTTTTACCTCCAGACGTAAAGAGTGCCCCCTTGTCTATCTGTGATGACCTCAGGGTGAATAACTCTACACCGAGTTCACTATATGAACCACTCTGATGTATTTATACATGGAGATCATATCCCCCCTTATGTATTATACATGGAGATCATATCCCCCCTTATGTATTATATATGGTGATCATATCCCCCCTTATGTATTATACATGTTGATCATATCCCCCTTATGTATTATACATGGAGATCATATCCCCCCTTATGTATTATACATGGAGATCATATCCCCCCTTATGTATTATACATGGAGATCATATCCCCCCTTATGTATTATACATGGTGATCACATCCCCCCTTATGTATTATACATGGAGATCATATCCCTCCTTATGTATTATACATGGAGATCATATCCCCCCTTATGTTTTATATATAGAGATCATAATTCCCCCTTATGTATTATACATGGTGATCATATCCCCCTTATGTATTATACATGGAGATCATATCCCCCCTTATGTATTATACATGGAGATCATACCCCCTTATGTATTATACATGGAGATCATATCCCCCCTTACGTATTACACATGGAGATCATATCCCCCCTTATGTATTATACATGGAGATCATATCCCCCCCCTTATGTATTATACATGGAGATCATATCCCCCTTATGTATTATACATGGAGATCATATCCCCCCTTATGTATTATACATGGAGATCATATCCCCCCTTATGTATTATACATGGAGATCATATCCCCCTTATGTATTATACATGGTGATCATATCCCCCTTATGTATTATACATGGAGATCATATCCCCCCTTATGTATTATACATGGAGATCATATCCCCCCTTATGTATGTACCCCCCCTTATGTATTATACATGGAGATCATATCCCCCTTATGTATTATACATGGAGATCATATCCCCCCTTATGATATATCCCCCCTTATGTATTATACATGGAGATCATATCCCCTCTTACCCTTATGTATTATACATGGAGATCATATCCCCCCTTATTGTATTATACATGGAGATCATATCCCCCCTATGTATGTGATTATCCCCCCTTATTATACATGGAGATCATATCCCCCTTATGTATTATACATGGATCATATCCCCCCTTATGTATTATACATGGAGATCATATCCCCCCTAATTCCCCCTTATGTATTATACATGGTGATCATATCCCCCTTATGTATTATACATGGAGATCATATGTATTATACATCCCCCCTTATGTATTTACATGGACATACATGTATTAACATGGAGATCATATCCCCCCTTATGTATTACACATGGAGATCATATCCCCCCTTTTGTATTATTATACATGGAGATCATATATCCCCCCCCCTTATGTATTATCCTCTTATCTCAAGAGATCCCCCCTTATGTATTATACATGGAGATCATAATAAATACATGGAGATTCATGTATTATACATGGTGATCTTTACCCCCCCAGCACATGGAGAATATTATGGACATCATATCCCCCCTTATGTATTATACATGGACTAGGGAGGTTACGTCTGGAATCACATCCCCCACAATGGAGAATATCGTATACATGATCATATCCCCCTTATGTATTATACATGGAGATCATATCCCCCTTTTGTTTATACATGGAGATCATACCCCCCCTTTGTATTATACATGAAGATTATCCCCTAAAGATGTATGATACATTGATCATATCCCCCTTATGTATTATACATGGAATCATATCCCCCCTTAGCTATTATACATGAGATCATATCCCCCTTATGTATTGTATACATGGTATTCCCCCCCTTATGTATTGGTCATATCCCCCTTATGATGGCATCCCCCTTATGTATTATACAGTATTTTGGCCACATATCCCCCCTTAATCTCCTCTTTTTTAAATTCAGGACAAATAATCAGACCACTAGGGAGGTTACGTCTCAAACACACACAATGGGAATATCGTATCAATGATCGTCCTTTTTTTTTGTTTTTGTTTTTGCATGAAAATGAAGAGGTTACTAAAGATATGAAAATTCTTGTATGACAGAATACAGCTTTAGAAGTGATGTATGAGCATGCACAGTTTTGGTGAATTTTTTATGGACAAATAACGTACTGATTAAAGGAAAATTGCTATTTTCTGGTATCGTACGAGAAACATTTTCTTGTTTGTCCCTTTGGATAATTTCACATGAACTGCCATGATCGGCTCCTGAAAGCTGTGAACTAACAATCATGTTATCGGATGGTCGAGCGGTATTTTTCATCTGATTTTCTCATTGTGTGTACTAGGCCTTAAGGTGGGAATACACGATTAGAAATTCGACAGATCGGTCATCCGACGACCGAAAGGCATTCGTTCATTGGTCGAAATCATGGTGCACATTAACCAATCTAAAAAAATTGTTGATCGGGCACTACGTAGTATTGATGTCTTCCGTACAAGTGGAAGTGATGCGGTGTGCGTGTGACCTTGTAGCCATGCCCTTCTGGCCAGAACAAGCGATATACACAACGATTCCCAGCAATGAGTATAATATCGTTTATTACATGACCTATTTACATAAATAGTGATACATAAAATATAATCTGCAGAATTCTGCTTTCATTATCTCATTAGGCCGATCGACTTTTAACATTTGGATTTTTCGTTCGTGTTTACGAAGATTCCTTGGACATAAACATCCGGGTCATCTTCTGTTTCCGCTCATGCGTGATAGCGCTTGATAGATTTTTTTCGTACAATTGTCATACCACCGCATAGAAATTTGGTCGTTCGTATGTGAAACGACAAATTTTTTTTTTTGTTCAACCGGATTTTTTTCGTTCACAATATCGTTATCAGTTAAAACATCCTGCTCACCAACGAAGAGAAAATCGTTCGATCAGTGGTTCCGCAAAATTTTTTGTATGATTTTATTATTGTGTGTACGGGGCATAACTCACTCGACCCAAAACAAAAAGATGTTTTGGCTTGAGTTGGGTTTTAACCACTTCCAGACCGCCCTATAGCAGAAAAACTACTACAGGGTGTAATTTCGCATTTCCGGGTAAGGGGCACCGATTGGTTGTTTATGCAGAAGTGATCAAATCAAAATCTCTGTGAATCCCCAAAGAAAAGTAAATCTTTCACCCTTGAAAGTGCAAATCCCTTGAGAAAAAGTCGGAAGTGACGAAACGCGTCATGGTCGTGACGTCAGACGCAAAACCGGAAGGAGCAGCGCGGCCATCTTGGATGTGGTTTTTGCATAGGATGGACGGTTTTTTTTCTCATATGTAAGCAGATAATAAATGTTTGAATTTAATGCATATACTCCACTGAGTCTTCTCTTCTCTGCCCTGTGAGGAACGGGGGGATCCCACTGCATACTCCCATAAGAGGAAAGCCATCTGGCATGTGGGAATGTGTGACACGCCTGTGCAAGCTGAAAGAGGGTAATAGCTTGTTATCCTAACGCAGAGTGGTGGCACCTATTTGGTCTAGTGCCCTTTATCACTGGCTACATATTTTGGATTTGTTGTTTTTCACTTGTTGGAGTGATTAACTCACCACATCACTAGTTGAGTTGTGTGGATTCATTGAACTTCACGTGTGGATTTTATAATATTGTATAATTATAATTATATAATATATATTTTTTTTTCTCTTTGTTTTGTATCACTAGTGTTTTTGCATGATATCACATAATATTATATCATTTGAAAGATAATGCACTATATTCAGTTTAAATTTTTTTGAGGTATCTTGGATTGGAGTGACGAATCGGATATTTATCACATTTGGAAGATTGGATAGTGTGGACAATTTTGGACTTTGCATTGTGGACATTTTTGGATATATTGGGAATGTGGGGTAGGATTTGAGTTTTGGGAAAGTTATGCAGAAGTGAGCCTGATTTTGCACTCTCCAGCTTTAGTAAAGAAATCCCATTGCGTCATATATGACATTTCTGATTTTTGTATTGAAGTATTGTAGATTCATGTTGGATAATGGGAAGGTCAGTGGTATGTTGGTCTGTGCTGAGTCCAGAGTTGTGTCAGCTGCTGATTTGGCTGGGATTTGGATGATCTGCAGACAGGTGGTACATAACATCTTATAAATAACCCGGAATTCTGAGATTAATTGTAGCTTGCATTGAAAACAGGATACTCTGACACTTACACGTTACTAATAAACAGCATAGGACAAAGGGAACCAGGACCCACCTTAACAAAATGTTTATATATGACGTTTCCGGGGTTTGTCTGCAGCTATTGCTCAGCACAAGTCCTGGGATCACAGTGATTACATGGGGTGGATTTACTAAAAGAAATTAGACTTTGCACTGTGCAGTTGCTCCAGAATTTAGTAAATGAGGGGCAGCTCTGTTGACTTCCATCATCTAATCATGTGCAAGCAAAAGTGCTGTTTTTTGATTTCCCTTGCATGTGATTGAGTGTTCTTTGCAAAGTGAAGCTTCACCGCATTTACTAAGCTCTGGAGCAACTGCACTGACAAAGTCTATTTTCCTTTTAGTAAATTCACCCTTATGTGACTCTATATATTGTATTCAAATGATCGAGGTCAGGGCCGGATCTAGCCTATCCAATGTGGGGGTGCATTCAAAATGTCAGGGGGGCAGAAGATGGAAGGTCAGCAAGGCAGAGGACAGGGGTCACTGCTGGCAGGGAGGAGGACAAGGGTCACTGCTGGCAGGGAGGAGGACAGGGGTCACTGCTGGCAGGGAGGAGGACAGGGGTCACTGCTGGCGGGGCGGAGGACAGGGGTCACTGCTGGCAGGGAGGAGGACAGGGGTCACTGCTGGCAGGACGGAGGACAGGGGTCACTGCTGGCAGGGAGGAGGACAGGGGTCACTGCTGGCAGGACGGAGGACAGGGGTCACTGCTGGCAGGACGGAGTACAGGGGTCACTGCTGGCAGAGAGGAGGACAGGGCTCACTGCTGGCAGGGCGGAGGACAGGGGTCACTGCTAGCAAGGAGCAGGACAGGGGTCACTGCTGGCAAGGAGGAGGACAGGGGTCACTGCTGGCAGGACGGAGGACAGGGTCACTGCTGGCAGGACGGAGGACAGGGGTCACTGCTGGCAGGACGGAGGACAGGGGGTCACTGCTGGCAGGACGGAGGACAGGGGTCACTGCTGGCAGGGAGGAGGACAGGGGTCACTGCTGGCAGGACGGAGGACAGGGGTCACCGCTGGCAGGGCAGAGGACAGGGGTCACTGCTGGCAGGACGGAGGACAGGGGTCACTGCTGGCAGGCAGGAGGACAGGGGTCATTGCTGGCAGGACGGAGGACAGGGGTCACTGCTGGAAGGACGGAAGACAGGGGTCACTGCTGGCAGGGAGGAGGGACGGGTCACTGCTGGCAGGACGGATGACAGGGGTCACTGCTGGCAGGGAGGAGGACGGGTCAGTGCTGGCAGGACGGAAGACAGGAGTCACTGCTGGCAGGGCAGAAGACAGGGGTCACTGCTGGCAGGACGGAGGACAGGGGTCACTGCTGGCTGGGAGGAGGACGGGTCACTGCTGGCAGGACGGAGGACAGGGGTCACTGCTGGCAGGACGGAGGACAGGGGTCATTGCTGGTAGGGCAGAAGACAGGGGTCACTACTGGCGGGGAGGAGGACGGGGTCACTGCTGGCATGACGGAGGACAGGGGTCACTGCTGGCAGGGCAGAAGACAGGGGTAACTGCTGCCAGGGCAGAAGACAGGGGTCACTGCTGGCAGGACGGAAGACAGGGGTCACTGCAGGCAGGGCGGAGGACAGGGGTCATTACTATCCCTGCAGCTGTGTTTTTAAAGAGGTGCATGCACCTTTTTTATGCAGAAAACACATGCACGGCAGTCCATCCAAATGTTTGTACTGCTGTGCCTGCGCAAACGTGGTCCAAATGGCTCCTCCCTGTGCAAACTGTTGTCGCTATATCAATCCTGTATAATAATAATATTTAGGGCTCTGGGTATTTTTAAAAGGACAAAGGTACAATGAGTACTTTTTTATTCTTTTATTCAATGTCATCAGCTTTATAGAAAACTGACCTTCTTAAATTTTTTTTCATCTCTGGGATTCGGTGTCTGTTGGTGAGATCCCAGATCTGCTCACCTGCTGTGCCCAATATAAGGGGTCCCTATTATTATGGATTTTTTTTTACTTATTTTATTTTACATTAGGAGACTGTAGATGGAGTAGCTGGAACACCTAACGGCACATAGAAGCCCCCATACTTCCATATGGGAAAGAACAGGAATTTTGGCAGGGAGATCTTGCTGTTGGAGCATCCAAGACATTCCCAGTTTGTGATGAACTATTCCAGGTTATGGAGTGCAGTGTATATTTCCAGTTAGGGTGCGTAGTATGCAGGGGCGGACTGACAACTCATGGGGCCCCTGGGCAATAGGGGATCATGGGGCCCCTGTGTCCTTGCCCAAACTCAAAAAAGCTTATGAAAAAGGTACCAGAGGCATCTCGTGGGGCCCCCTACTGACCCCGGGCCCTCAGGCAGTGCCCGAGTTTCCAAATGGTCAGTCCGCCCCTCGTAGTATGACAAAAGTGTATTGGGTGCTCAGTGATGCATTTGCAGTACATTTTGCCAGAGTGCAGAGGCTATGTTTTGTCTTGCAATGACAGGATCCTGCCATGTTTCCCAACTGGCACTGTCTTTATGAGGTATATACACTCACCGGACACTTTATTAGGTGCATCTGTTCAATTGCTTGGAAACACAAATTGCTAATCAGCCAATCACATGGCAGCAACTCAATGCATTTAGACATCTAGACGTGGTGAAGACAACTTGCTGAAGTTCAAACTAAGCATCAGAATGGGGAAGGAAGAGGATTTAAGTGACTTTGAACGTGACATGGTTGTTGGTGCCAGACGAGTTGGTCTGAGTATTTAAAAAATGATCCACTGGGAATTTCACGCACAACCATCGCTAGGGTTTACAGAGAATGGTCCGAAAAAGAGAAAACATCCAGTGAGCTGCAGTTGTGTGGATGAAAATGCCTTGTTGATGTCAGAGGAGAATGGGCTAACTGGTTGTAGATGAAAGAAAGGCAACAGTAACTCATATACTCGATATGGACCAAAATCTCTGAAGAATGTTTCCAACACTTGTTGAATCTTTACTATGAACAAATTAAGGCAGTTCTGAAGGAGAAAGGGGGCCCAACCCGGTACTAGCAAAGTGAACCTAATAAAGTGGCCGGTGACTGTATATTCATCTTGTGTTTCTGTGGATTTCATCCAGGTTCCTAGTTTCCTCCCATAATCCAAGAGCTCAGTTCTCCGACATTCTCGGAGAACACAGTTCTCCTGTGAATGCATTTTTGAAGCAGTTCTCCAAACGAAGGGAGAACGGTCTCCAAACGCTGGAGAACGGTCTACAAACTCTGGAAAACGGCTCATTTTACTATAATCTCTCGAGATTATAGTAAAAGATCAGTTTACTAAACAGAGGTAAATTATCTCTGCTTAGTTTTCGGTCCCTCTGATTCTCCAGCTCTGGGCTGGAGAATCTAGAGGGAGAACACAGATCTCCAGCGAAGGGCTGACATGATCTCCCGAGTGTTATAAACTGTGAATGACCAGAGAATAGCTGAGATCTGTTGAATCGCAGCTATTCTCTGTGTCATAAACGGACACCTTAGTTCTGGAACAATTGTGCCTCAGTATTGTGTGGTTAGGAATACACATTTTAGTTTCTTGGGGGAAGAAACATTTCTGGGTGGTTTTATGTACTTTGTAAAGTCGTACAGTATATATAATTATTGACATGTTTGACTGTGATGGAGGCAGCAGATGGCAAGTTCCTCTAGGGTGGGATTGATGTAGCTGGTTGGATGTTTTCTGTTGAATTCTGCAGCGTTTTTCAAATGTCGGAGCTAAACCAATGGATACAATAAATATTGTGATACGTTAGATGGGGCACCATGATTTCATTTTGCTTCCTTCATTCCTGTACACTTGTATCACTTTCTGGGTTTGCAGCACCAGGACAAGTATAAGCATCTCTATGTAAACTGCTTAACAGTAGAAAAGACACATGTATTCATTACCGTGTGATAAGACGAGCAATACATTTTACAGCAGGTGTCATAACACTTGTGATTGGACACAGGTGTGCTATATAGTGCTGTTTTTTGACCTTGTAGTTGAGCTGATTTACTGTACAGCCAATTCAGCAATTCACTATCAGATTGTTCTGTCAACTTAACCACTTGCTGTCCGCCTGCTGTTTATAAACGGCAGGACGGTGGCACTCCAGGGGCGGGTTGCCATTCATAAACGGCACCCGCCATTTCAAGCTGTGCACGCTCCCTGGGAGCGCGCAGCACCGCGATCCGGTGCCCGCTGTGTCCTCCAGTGAAGCACCAATCGTCGTGCTTTGGATGTTATTCACAGTAAAAGAGTGAAATGCGCATTTTCACCCTAAGAGGGTAACAGTATTTAGGGGAAGAGTGGTGGACACTTTTGTATATTGCATATTACTCATTGCACACAGCTGCACATGTATACATTTGTATAAGAAGTACTACACTCTATCAGTTTATTTCTTTTGGAGATTTGGATCAGTACACTGGAAGATCAAAGGAGAGAGAGATGTTCTATGGTATACAACATATTCTGGTTAAAGGGATCTTGGTGAGAAGACAGGAAGATTGGAACATGAAATGGTGCGCTGTTGTTTGCATATAAAGACTTTTTTACTCGTTTATGTTGTATTTTGTGGCGCTTTATATAATTTCAAATATCATAGCTATATACTGTATGTGGCTGTAATTCAGTCAATTGTGTAATCAAAACTGGGCAATAAATTGACAGTTTTGATACAGTTTATTTAATGATCAAATTAAAGAAAAAAGTTACGCCAATTTTGTCAAAAGACATTGGATTTCACTTCTTTTTACAATGCATGTTATTGTGGTTAATTGAAACCATCATTTTATGTCTTCAATTTCTTTGTAATTTTGACAAAATTAGAAGTCAGAACTGATGGTTGCTTCCTTAAATCTGTGATGAACTTTTCACTTTGTTTTAATTTTTGGTTAATTTTTGTGTGTTTTTATTGGAACAGGTCAACAGCATTGTGGATGAACAATGAATAGCTCAGGAAATGATACCTCCCCTTACAAGTGTATATTTGATGAAGATTTCAAGTATGTTCTTCTTCCAGTGTCCTACGGGATCGTGCTCTGCGTTGGGCTTATTCTCAACATCCTGGCCCTTTACATCTTTCTGTTCCGGATTAAGCCCTGGAATGCTTCAACTACATACATGTTTAACCTGGCTATCGCGGACATTATGTATGTCATCTCCCTGCCCCTTCTGATCTACTATTATTCCCAGGGCGATGACTGGCCATTTGGGGAAGCATTGTGCAAAATTGTCAAATTTCTCTTCTACAACAACATGTATTGCAGCATCTTCTTCTTGCTTTGCATCAGTATCCACCGATTCATTGGGATCTGCTTCCCTATGAAGTCGTTGGGTTGGTTGAAGGTTCGAAATGCCCGCATTATATCCGTCGTGGTCTGGATCTTCATTGCTGCTTTCCAGTCCCCTATATTGTATTTTGTGACCACAAGCACAAAGGGAGATAGCACCACCTGCCACGACACTTCTAGCGTGGATTTATTTGATACTTTTGTCGTCTACAGCTCGGTCAGCTTGGCTTTGCTCTTCTGTGTCCCGTTTGTTATCATCATCATCTGCTACACTTTGATGACCCGGGCCCTCATGAAGCCCTCAGCAGCTTCTTCTGACACCTCAAACTCCAAAAAGAAGTCAATTAAGATGATCATTATTGTGCTACTCACATTCATCATCTGCTTCTTACCTTTCCATGTGAACCGAACCTTGTACTATTACTTTAGAAAGTTAGACCTTGACTGTGATACGTTAAATGCAATCAACATGGCCTACAAAGTGACAAGACCGCTGGCTAGCGCCAACAGCTGTCTAGATCCCATCTTGTACTTTCTTGCTGGACAAACTGTGCGAAGGAACATTATTCCTAGGAGTGGACTCACAAAAGTTAAAAACAAGTTTTCAACCTATGTACGAAGTAATAACTCAAGCTCTGCCACGAACAGTAATGCTGCAGAGAACAGCTTTACCCCCATTTCTTCTGACATGCCCTCAGCTCCCAGTCCTAGCCCAACTGTAATTACCAGGATGTAGATAGCTAAGTCGTGTTTATTAGGTACCATCCACCTGTTGTTGGTTTTTGGGTATTAAACCATATCTAAACCCACATTTTCAGTAAATTAAAAGTAACAATGCTCATTTTGGGTTGACCATTAAAATGATTTATTTATTGAAAATTAATGTTTATAAGAAACAATTCATTAGCTTGGATTGTGTATATGCGAGAGGGTATAGTCCTGAGTAATGGTGAGTGTGCTGGAATATGGCTATATACAATATTTAACTATGGTCACAATACAGAAACAGACGATGAAAACGATATAATACAACAATAAATGTCAATACAAAGACATGCCAAAAACAGTTTGTCTAGTACAGGGGTCTCCAAACTTTCTACACAAAGGACCAGTTTACTGTTCTTTAGACTTTGGGGGGCAGGACCGTGGCCACTGGGAGTAGAAAATGGTATCATAGGAAAGAATAGTGCCCCATCGATCCTGCCAGTCCCATCTTTGGTATCAGTGGAAGAATAGTGCCTCATCATTGGTGTCAGTGGGGGGAATAGTGCCTCATCATTGGTGTCAGTGGGAGAAATAGTTACTCATCATTGGTATCAGTAGGAGAAATAGCTCCTCATCATTGGTGTCAGTGGGGGAAATAGTTCCTCATCATTGGTGTCTGCGGGGAGGAATAGTTCTTCATCATTGGTGTCAGTGGGAGGAATAGTTACTCATCATTGGTATCAGTAGTTGAAATAGCTCCTCATCATTGGTGTCAGTGGGGGGAATAGTTCTTCATCATTGGTGTCAGTGGGAGGAATAGTTACTCATCATTGGTGTCAGTGGGAGAAATAGTTACTCATCATTGGTATCAGTAGGAGAAATAGCTCCTCATCATTGGTGTCAGTGGGGAATAGTTCCTCATCATTGGTGTCTGCGGGAGGAATAGTTCTTCATCATTGGTGTCAGTGGGAGGAATAGTTACTCATCATTGGTATCAGTAGTTGAAATAGCTCCTCATCATTGGTGTCAGTGGGGGAATAGTTCTTCATCATTGGTGTCAGTGGGAGGAATAGTTACTCATCATTGGTATCAGTAGTTGAAATAGCTCCTCATCATTGGTGTCAGTGGGGGAATAGTTCCTCATCATTGGTGTCTGTGGGAGGAATAGCTCCTCATTATTGGTGTCCGTGGGAGGAATATTACCACATTTTTGGTGTCATGGGAGGAATAGTTCGTCATCATTGGTGTCAGTGGGAGGAATAGTACCAAGTCCTTGGTGTCAGTTGGAGGAATAGTACCACATCTTTGGTGTCAGTGAGAGGAATAGTACCACATCTTTGGTTTCAGTGGGAGGAATAGTTCTTCATCATTGGTGTCAGTGGGATGAATAGTTCCTCATCATTGGTGTCAGTGGGAGGAATAGTGCCCCATCGTTGGTATCAGTGGGAGGAATAGTGTCCCATCATTGGTTTCAGTGGGAGGAATAGTGCCTCATCATTGGTGTCAGTGGGAGGAATAGTACCACATCTTTGGTTTCAGTGGGAGGAATAGTTCCTCATCATTGGTGTCAGTGGGGGGAATAGTTCTTCATCATTGGTGTCAGTGGGAGAAATAGCTCCTCATCATTGGTGTCAGTGGGAGGAATAGTACCAAGTCCTTGGTGTCAGTGGGAGGAATAGTAGCACATCTTTGGTGCCTGTGGGAGGAATAGCTCCTCATCATTGGTGTCAGTGGGAGGAATAGTACCACATCTTTCGTGTCAGTGGCAGGAATAGTTCCTCATCATTGGTGTCTGTGGGAGGAATAGCTCCTCATCATTGGTGTCAGTGAGAGGAATAGTACCATAACTTTGGTGTCAGTAGGAGGAATAGTTACTCATCAATGGTGTCTGTGGAAGGAATAGCTCCTCATCATCATTAGTGTCAGTGGGAGGAATAGTACCATGTCCTTGGTGTCAGTGGGAGGAATAATACCACAGCTTTGGTATCAGTGGGAGGAATAGCTCCTCATCATTGATGTCAGTAGGAAGAATAGCTCCTTATCATTGGTGTCTGTGGGAGGAATAGCTCCTTATCATTGGTGTCTGTGGGAGGAATAGCTCCTCATCATTGGTGTCTGTGGGAGGAATAGCTCCTCATCATTGGTGTCTGTGGGAGGAATAGCTCCTCATCATTGGTGTCTGTGGGAGGACTAGTACTCCATCTTTGATAGTGTCCCAAGGACTGGATAAAGGCAAGAGGGCTGCAGTTTGGAGACCACTGGTCTAGTACAACACATACTGTAGATAGGTATGTTCACTGGCTAAACCTTGTGAACACTACTGAAATGACTGATGAGCTTGGCAGAGACATTTCATTATAGAGTAGAAACCTGAACAGTTTCAGAATTCTGTATACAGGTCATTGACATACCCAAAGACATGCCCTCGGAGATTGATTTCCCCTATGGCTTTATGCTTCTGTCTTGAGATACTAAGACTTTTCACTCAATGTTCTTCTGAAGGCAAGAATGAATGTTTGAAATTAAAGTAGTAGAACTAAAGGCAAAACTTTCATTTCGGAAAGAATAAAGGCGGGTTATAATCCTTGACAGGTTTTTTGCCATCTGTGTCCCATTGGGGAAATTTACCTTCACTTTCTGACCCATATCATAAATAGGAAGTGAGAGGAAATCCCTCCAAAGTGAGAGAATCCTGGGGTGCCACCTGAAGTAGTGCCTCCATTCGATGATTTCCTTTCTATTACTGTTCTGGCAACAACCCAAAATTTGGGTTGAAAAAGAATCAAGTTATATGCAGCCAGTTCATTCTGTGTTTATCTCTCACTTAGAACATTTCAGAAAAATGCAATATTTTGACCAGCGAAAAAACAATGTTCTGTTTATGTTTTAGATTGTAAGCTCTAACGAGCAGGGCCCACTGATCCCTCCTGTATTAAACTGTATTGTTATTGTACTGTCTGCCCTTGTAAATCGCTGAGTAAACTGTTGGCGCTATATAAATCCTTTATAATAATAATGTCAGGACTATCTCTTTACTGACACTCACTGTCAGATACAGTCACTTGTTCACAAATTCTGTAGTCATCTGTTTATTTAAAATATGCCCAGCAGCAGGGGTGACTTATAAAGACTGAAGGAAAAGAATTTAAAAGCACTGCTGTTAATCCGATGCTTGCACTTTTTGTTTTTGAATACTGAATAGTTCCTTAGGAAACACTTTTATATCTTGCCGTACTAGTTTTTTTTTTTTAAAGTTTAGGAATTTTTTCACAGTTTAAGCCTTGTCATACGCAGGCTGAACAAAAAAAAAAAAAATAGAGATCCCTCCTTCCACAATATTTGCCATATATATATATACTGTACTGTCAAAAAAAATATAAATATATATATAAAACAAATATCTCCATCCATGCCATACGCTATATATATAAAATGGTTTCTCTTCTAACTATAGTCCCCCTTTGAATGTTCCCGTTGTTTTATTAGGGAGCAAAATGACTGAATGTTCCCTTGTCCATATGTCACTGATTATCGAGGGTTCTTCGGTGGAACTGTGGTATACAGGAACATCCTGTGTGACAGTGTACATTGTACTAAACAATATTATATTTTTTAAATATAGATATTTTATTCCCTAATTCGAAAAGTCTTTTTTTTTAGAATAGTTAAATTATTATAATCTACTTTATTTTGTAGCTAAAGAGAAGTTTTGTTTTGAGATAGGAAATAAAAAATGAACTATATCTTTTTTTTTTTTTTTTTTTGTAATAAACATTTAAATGGAAAAAAATGGTTGGTTTGTTTTCTTTAAAAAAAAATGTATTTAAAAGTGTTTTACAAGTTTATCCAAACCTTTCAAATCCCAATCATAAGCCTGGGTTCACACTGATGCGGCGCATATTTCGCAGCGGTTTTGATATGAATTCCGCATCGTATCACAATCACGCCCTGTTCATGTGAACCGCTGCAGGTGTGTATGTTAACCTCTTGGCGCCGGCCGCACGCAAATGTGCGGCCTCCCGGCGTCTGGGCCTTGACGCTGAGTGGCCGCACATTTGTGTGCAATTAAGAAAAACATATGTGCTGAGACCGCGCGCCCTGCGCGCTCCCAGCACACATGTCCGGTACTCACGGAAAGGTCCTGATCTCCTCTTTCGATCGGGACCTTTCCCGATCATGTGACCGCCGTGATGGTGAATCATGATGGTCACATGACCCTAAAACCCCGCCTCCCGGCTTCTGAAACCCTTAAAGGGCCGGGAGGCGCCGGCGCCAAGGGGTTAAGTTAACAACACCCCAAAATCGGTCCGCAAAATGCAGTGCGATGTGCAGAATCGGATTGCATGGGTGTAACTACGCGTGTGATCCAATTCTAGTGTGGACCAAAAAAAGGTTCTGCCCCTTTTTGGTGAAGATGCGGTGCGATTTGAGTCATACAAAATGCATGGTTCAAATCGCACCGCACAGAATTTGCATGTGATTTGCACGGGAATGCTGTGCGGTTCCTATGCAAATCACATGCGATATGCTGCACCGCACAAGCGTGAACCGGGGCTTACGGTCCAAAAGCAGGCCAGCAAAGCTTGCAGCACAGGTTCCTTGTAGGTACCTTTAAATGCATCCAGTGCTTCTTGTGTGCTCTGGGAAAAGTCAGTGTTGTTACCCACACCTGCTCCTTGACTTGACATCCCACAACTGGCAATCCTAAGATACCTGGGTTACTAAAACTGGTGCACACAGAATCTGGTGCAGCTGTGCATAGTAACCAATCATAAATCAATCAAAAATGCAGCGCAGCAATATAAACACAAATGGTGCTAATAATATAAACGTGCATATATGAAAAGTGATAACAGAAATAGTGTTTGTGACAATACATATGAGCTACACCAAATATCTTCTTACACATAGATACCCACAGAACTGCACATAACCGTGCTGAAATGAATAGTGCAATAAAATATTCTAAATAGTGAACTGTCCCTTTAAATCTCAGATATCAGTGTCTAATAAATAAATAAGATCTCAAAT